TAGGAAAAAATCAATGACCCCCTGGGGCGGGCCAATTTTGACCCCAGGGCTTTTCTTTGAACAAACTTGGGTAGACACCTATTAGAACATGTTTGATGCTCAAATATCTTAGCCATAGCTCTTTGAGTTCTTTTAAAAGAAGATTTTTAAGTTTTTACTATATGCATATAGGGAAAATCAATGCCCCCCCGGGGCGGGGCCAATTTTGACCCCAGGGCTTTTATTTGAACAAACTTGGTAGACACTCATTAGAACATGTTTCATGCTAAATATCTTAAGCTCTAGCTTCTTATGTTTTTTTTAAAGAAGATATTTAAAGTTTTTTTTCTTTCGGTTGCCATGGCAACCAGAGTTCGCATGGAATTAAATTCTTTGAACAATTTTAAAAGGTGACCACCAAAGGAACATTCCTGTGAAGTTTGGATGAAATTGGCCTTGTGGTTTATGAGGAGATGTCATTTAAAGTAAAAGTTTACGGACGACGGACGCCGGACGACGGACGGACGACGGACGGACGACGGACGCCGGACGAAAAGCGATCACAAAAGCTCACCCTGTCACTTTGTGACAGGTGAGCTAATAAAGGCTGTATGAGCAAAATGTATGACCTTGACCCCAGTGACTCCTAACTCCACAACAAGAGGGCCATGATGGCCCTAGATCGCTCACCTGACCCATCAAACTCATCCAAACAATTACCTAGACAAGCATTCTGACCAAGTCTCATGACAGGTGAGTCAAAAATGTGACCACTACAGTGTTAACAAGGATTATCCATATTTGAGCAGTGTGACCTAGTTTTTTACCCAGGTGACCCATATTCAAACTTGACCTAGAAATCATCAAAACAAACTTTCAGACCAATTTCCAGGATACTAATGGATCAAAACAGTAGCAACTAGAGTGTTAACAAGGTTTTTCTATTTTTAGCTCCGGTGACCTAGTTTCACATGCGATTTCGAACTCATCCGAGCAATTACCTAGACAAGCATCCTGACCAAGTTTGATGATAATTGAGTCGAAAATGTGACCACTAGAATGTTAACAAGGTTTTTCAATATTTGGGCGGTGTGACCTAGTTTTTCATCCAAGATGACCCATGTTCAAACTTGACTTAGAAATCATCAAAACAAACTTTCAGACCAATTTACAGGATATTTGGATCAAAACAGTAGCCACAAGAGTGTTAACAAGATTTTTCTATTTTTAGCTCCTGTGACCTAGTTTTTCATCCGAGATGACCAATGTTCGAACTCATCCGAGCTATCACCTAGACAAACATCCTGACCAAGTTTGATGATGATTGAGGCAAAATTGTGACCGCTAGAGTGTTAACAAGGTTTTTCTATTTTTAGCTCTTGTGACCTAGTTTTTCATCCGAGATGACCCATGTTTGAACTCATCCGAGCTATCACCTAGACAAACATCCTGACCAAGTTTGATGATGATTGAGGCAAAAATGCAACCGCTAGAGTGTTAACAACAAAATGTGAACGGACGGACGGCCGACGGACGACGGACAATCATCGATCCTAAAAGCTCACCCTGAGCATGCTCAGGTGAGCTAAAAAGTTAGAAGACCAAGCAAGTTTTCCACCTACCAAATAAAGAAGATATCATAAAAAAACAGGGGCGTATACAGAACATGGTTTCCTGGGGGGGGGGGGGGGCTGACATATGGGTGTAAGATTTTGACAATAATAATGCAACAGGCAAAAATTGCATTTTTATAGATCATTTTATAGGTTGCAATGTACTTTGCTTATACATGTGTATACTAATGTCCTTGCAAATATTTTGATGGTATGGAATTAAGAAATATATTTGTAATTGGGGTGGGCCTGGGAGGGGTGTCCCCTCCCATAGACTGAGAAAATTTTGAAATATGAGGTTGAAAATGGTGTTATTTCCTTGACTTTCTAGTGCTGTTTATGGTACCTTTTGGATGGTTTAACATCACATGGTATTTTGTATAGGTTAGTGTTTGCAGCATCTTTCAAATAGTATTCCACGTAAGCATTTACAAAATAACAGCACACTTAGTTGATTAAAATTATAAATTTCAAACACTCAATCAATTTACTCATCTGAATAAAAGGTGATTTTCCTAAATAAATTGTTATTAAAATTCTGCCTTTCTATTGTACAAAAAAAAAAAATTAAACACTATTTAATAATAATAATATTCAATAAGAATTCTCTCCATCAATAAATCCATTTTAGATTATGACTAAAGAGGTCAGTACAAATTTAAATTTTATTTAAAATATATTACTGCCATAAAAACTTATTAAGTCTTTTCATCTTAATAAAAATCTTAGTAAAGCTAATATTTAAATGTGATTCCTTTAATATTATCTTTTTTTTAAAACCCGCCACCTTTTTAATTTACAAATCATAATATTCAATTTCTTAATTATAGGGCTTTCCCAAAGAAAATGGAAAATCCAAGAAAGTTAAATATGGTGTACTATGTAACACATCTATTTGCCACCATAAATATTTGTGACTATTAATTTCATTAGTCCTTTGGAAAGTAATAAACCAATCAATTATGCACTGAAGTCATTCAAGCATGTTGATAGATAAAGATCTCTGCCAAGCCCCCAGGCAGGAGATTAACAACTGGATGACAGCAATAAATGTTTTGATAAGGGAGTACACTACAGTCAATAAAGTATGAAACTGACAAAAATATATTCCAGCCCAGCTGGTAAACGTTTTTGGGCAGAGCTGGGGGGCTGCAGCCCTGAAGCCCGGGCCTGAATCCGCCACTGAAAAAAATTAACCAAGATGATTCTACAACAGTGCTATTTCCTAAACAAGGTTTTCTCAATTTAAGCAAAATTCAGTAACTTAACCTTGATCATCAAGCAAGGTATTTTTTTTATCTAAAGTCAAAATCAATGTTGAACAACTCTACATTTCTGTTTTTACAAGTGTTGTTTTGTCGAAGTATTTTTTGATTTTATTTAGACCTGTCAATTCCATACTGATTATACGGTCAATGCACAGAATATATTAATATTCGATTAATGTTTGGTAAATTCCGTGAGATTTAAGCTGTAAGATATGATTAAATTCATCTGGTTTCTATGCATTAGTTACACTGGCCGTTATAGATGAATAGGGTATATAATTTATTAATGTCCTACGTGTTGTAATCGTGTTGTAAGATCGAGACAGCTTATGTCCAGGCATTTTTTTGTTATTCATAACTATTTTCAACATTTTGAAGTAAAGGTTGTTCTCTCTGTTTTAATAGGTTTTGCCCTTTTTTGTTAATACTATACTTTTTATATAACATTGTTAAAGAATGAATATTCAAAATTCATTCGTATTAAGATCAATAAATGTCATTTCAGTGCCGTAAAATAGTCAATACAAAACGTAAAATAGTCAATACAAAACGTGACAATTAGGTGTTTCTTAGTTGTTTCATATCTGTGTAGAAAATTATGAAAGCGCTGGAAAATTTTCATTATAATATACTTAAAAATAAAGAAAAAATAAGGCTAAAAATTAGATACGTCAAAAAAAAATGTCAAAAGAAGGGATCAAACCTCGGTCCTCTCATACATTAGATAATCACTTAACCGACTTTGCTATTGCGGATGTTACAAGAATCTATATTAAGCTAGTGGGAGTTTTCCAAACGTTAGCTCTATACTCCATATTAATTCTCGTTAAATAAACGGACAAAACCGAAGTAGGATCGAATATTTAAATGAGTGCTATAATGTATTCATAATTGACAGGTCAATAAAATAAGACTATAAATTAAGTTAAATTTGTAAATAAATGACAAAGTTATCATAAGTTAAGGTATGTTCATTAACTTGAATTTGATGGTTAAGATTTATATAATTTTAAGGTCATGTTAGTTGTGTCATTCATCAAAGAATGAAGCAGAGCTGTAAATAATCAAGCAATTATCAAAGTATTGCAAACATTACAAAGTCCCCTACCAGTAAGAAACCCACAAGAAGTATATCAGCAATAATTTGAATAAAATTATGCTATTGTGGAAGACATGAATGAACTTTTGAGTTCTTAGCTTGTCTTTATCATAGTAATGTGTTAAATTTCAATAAAACATACATGCAAAATATAAACAAACTCATATATATCCTTCATTTCTTTGTTTGTTTAATTGGGCTTTACGTCACACCAACACATTATAGGTCATATCATGACGTTCCAGCTTTACAGGTGGAGGAAAGCCTCAGGTGCACTTCCGTGCATTATTTCAGGCACGAAAGGGCACCGGAGTAGATATCCTTCTTAAGTTATCCTGCTGAAACCAAAACAGACAGACAAACATGTGACCAGATTGAAAAGGGGCCATTTCTTTGTTATTTTCTTTTGTTTAAAAGAAGCCATTGGCTTCAAATATATTTTTACAGAATAAATTTATTGTTCTGTTTACAGTAAGAAAGCCCCCCTATATTTTTTGGGGAAGTGCGAGGGACAGAAAGACAGGGGGGCAACTATAACATAATAAGATTGACAGGTCTTATTACATATAAATATCAATCACCCAGAAGGAGATATGGAGACAAGGTCAGAAATTGGAGGTTTTTTATCTCCCATGGGTGATATTGCATGCATGAAACTTTTTAAAGAGGTCCATCCAAGGACAAAACTGTATAGTTTCATCACTATTAGCTAAGTGATTTGGAAGATGCTGTTTAAGTAATGGTGCTAGATACTAGACATAGGGTGATCACATTAGCACGCTTTGAGCATGTTGTGATCGTGTGAGCAAAAAATTATCCAACTATGATGTTCAATCTGGTTCCTAGTAAAAAAGATAATAACCTGGTAACATGATGACCTAGTATATTTTATCTACTACCACACTTGAAAAACACTTGAAAAGCAAAAAATCTATCAGTGGGTTAGGTTTATACTTTCTGTTTTTAAACAATCTTAAACACAACTTAAAGATAGAAAGTTCTGCATTGTAAATTTTTGTTCTAAATAATAAAACAAAAATCATGGCACATTCCAAGTTAGACTTTAGTGCTTCATCTACACGTGATTCTAATGAAGTTCAGGAAATGTTTTGTGAACATTGTGATAAACAAGACAAGCAATGTGTTCCTGCTGAAGGATTTTGTGAGGAATGTTTCGAGTACATGTGTGGAACTTGTCTAAAATACCATAAATTATACATGAAATCCCATAACATCAAAGATAAGGATAACATGCCACAGGATTTCTACCTACAGAAATGTTCCATTCATCAAGATGAATTGATCAAGTTCTATTGTCAAGCTTGTAAGAAATTTGCCTGTACTAAATGCAAGACACAAAACCATGGGAGCTGTAGTATGGTCAATCATTTGCCAGTTCTTGTTCAAGGAAATGAGAATAACCAACAAATGAAAGAACTCACTGAAAATCTTGATAAGTTAATGAAAGATTTGGAAAATACAGAAAAACATGTCAACATAAACATGAAGAATGTCACATCACAAGAAACAATGGTATTAGATACAGTCATGAAAAAGAAAAAAGAAATGCTGTCAGCATTTAAAAAACATCAAAAAGAAATAATTCAAGACGTTGAAAAGAAATTTGAAGAAACCTTAAAAAGACTTGAACAAGAGAAAAAAGGAAAAATTGAAAAATTACGAGAAAATCAAAGGAAATTAGAGAAGGTATTAAATGATGAGGAATATGAAATTAAGAAGAAAATTGAAATGATAATAAAGATTGACAAGACAATTTTGCAGAAAATCTCTGAAGAAACTTCAAAAATGAAAACAAAACTAAAAGTCATATCTACAAAGCTGGTGCATCACCAAAATACAGATCAAAGATTTCAACTACTAGTTGCTATGAAGAATGGGCAAGGAATCATTGAACAATTGAAATCAGATGCAAATGAACTGCGTAAAAACAATTCAATTCATTATTACAAAGTAGAATGCAAAGGTTTTGAACAAAATAGAGCTATCATTCAAGACCGTGGCAAATTTTTCTCTTTTCAAGAAATACACGAGTCTGAAGCACAAAAAACTGCTAGATATAACAAAGAAATTGAATTCAGATGCCAGCTGTTCTCACCTCTTACCAGTCCTGCACTGCAATTTGCCAATCTCGCAACTGGCGGAAAAATATTTAAAAGTGGCGAAAAAATAAATAAATAAGAAAGCATATTTTTCTGATATATTTTTAAAAACAAATTACCCTTATAGATCTCTGATTGATAAATCCTTATAAAGGTTGTAAACAGTGTGACTGCTTGCGGCTTTTACATGTCAATATGACCTTACTGTCGTCAATTCGGCTGGGAGTTTTACTCGCTGAAATTGCACATCATAATTGAAAGTTTTGTATTAGGCTCCTGGATTAATTCAACATTGGAAAACAATGTTAAAATATCTCAAAAGTATTTACTTCCACACAATAAAATGTTGAACAACCAAAATTGTGAATATTCCTGCAGATAAAAATATTCAATTGTCACAAACTCGAGATGATGATCTTTTTTAATAATTACTAAAATACGATAAGAAGCTTAGTTCTGTTTAAAAATCTTTTATTTATAATTAAAACAGAAAAATATAACTACATTGATGATGATGCCAATTTTAAGTAAGTGATTCAGAAAAAAGGGCTACATTATGTAAATGTCTGCAAGTTAAACTTCTATAGGCTTATATGACCAGTACCCTTGTTCTGTGTGAAATGTGGAAATTAACAGTGGTTATTATACTAAAACAATAAGAAAGAACAAAAAAATTTGTTTTTGTTTTTTGGTAACAGAGTCAGTGGAAAATGTGTATAACATTCTCACTGGAAATCCTTATATTGCTACCCAACCAAACCTGGAATTCTTACAGATACCATGAAAAGATGGACAATGCAGGTCTACATACCCATATTGATATATATATACAAAATGCTTGGTTAATATTTAAACATTGTAATTGTACTCAAGCATTAAGCAAAGGTAGAATGAATCATTATTATTGTTATGCAGTGTTTCATTTACAGAACATTTTTATTTTGTTTTAATACACAGCTTTTAATTGTTATTTAAGCCTTGGTTTTATGTAAGAAACAAGAGCGATCAGTAATCACATGTATCGCCTCATTATGGCCAATTTCATGTTGGGACAAATTTTGTGACAGACGGACAGTGCACAACTAGACTTGGTACTGATCATTCCTGTAAAGTTTGGATAAAATTGCACCAGTAGTTTATGAGGAGTAGTCCGGACAAGCTTTTGCGTATCTGGCAACACACAGAAAAAAACACCTTTTTATCAAAGGGCCATAACTCAGCCAAAAATCATTCAACCGGAAAACCCGTGCAATATGCGCAAGGACTTGAGCTACAGATCAATCCTGTAAAGTTTCATTGAAATTGCATTAGTGGTATAAGAGAAGTAGTCCGGACAAACTTTAAAAATAAAAATTATCAAAGGGCCATAACTCAAACAAAAATCATTGAACCGGAAAATGCTGACAATATGCACAACTAGACTTGGTACTGATCATTCCTGTAAAGTTTGGATGAAATTGCACCTGTAGTTTATGAGGAGTAGTCCGGACAAGCTTTTGTGTATCTGGCAACACACAGAAAAAAAAACCTTTCTTATCAAAGGGCCATAACTCGGCCAAAAATCATTCAACCGGAAAACCCTTGCAATATGCGCAAGGACTTGAGCTACAGATCAATCCTGTAAAGTTTCATTGAAATTGCATTAGTGGTATAAGAGAAGTAGTCCGGACAAACTTTAAAATTAAAAATTATTAAAGGGCCATAACTCTGACAAAAATCATTGAACCGGAAAATGCTGACAATATGCACAACTAGACTTGGTACTGATCATTCCTGTAAAGTTTGGATGAAATTGCACCAGTAGTTTATGAGGAGTAGTCCGGACAAGTTTTGTGACGGACGGACGGACGGACAGACGGACGGACGGACGGACAGACAGACAACGGAAAAGTGATCCCTATATGTCGCCACTTGTAACTCCGTAGAGGCGACACAAAAGTGTAAATATCAATATATCAGTTTATTTGAGCGTCCTTATAAAACTGAAAAAGTTTAACATGAAATGTACATTAAATCAAATGCTTAAGCTGTTAATTGCGCCCCTGCGAAAGCATGTTCATCAATTCATGAATTTTCATGAACAGTTCATGAATATTCATGAACATCTTTCAATTGTTCATCATCTTGGCAGAAATGTTCATGAACAAATATTCATGAACATTCAAGTTCATGAATATGTAAGTCTGTTCATGATCATGTTGATGTGTTCATGAACATTTTGGCATCATTCTTGCTCTGTTCATGAACATTTTGGTATGTTCATGAACAAGCTGACAATAATCATGAACTTTAAAAACAAATTTGTCTTTACAATTTTAACCCATGTGAATACTTTTTAGTGTTAGAAAAATTTCAGTTCATGAACTCATGAACTGAAAAATTTCAGTTCATGAACTCTCGTGAGTTCATGAACTCACTGATCATCAACAAGAGTTGGCTGACCTTGGTAACACCCATAATGCAAAAGTCAACATGGCCGCCAGAAACAAAGCTCTACATGTGTTTTAACAAACTTTCGGTGCAAACTTACTTAAAAATGGAATAAAATAACAATGACTTAGCAAAATGAAGAAAAAGTGATGTATTTACATAATGGACTATATAAAATCTTATGGAAAATTGTGTCACAGAAATAAATTGAAGAGCAAACTGGCAAGTCGTGAATTCTAATGACAATTCAATTTGTACATAGGGAATCAATGAGCACAGTGTTTAACAAGTTTCATTACCTGTGTAATGGGCTTTTGTGTTTTGTATTTGTACTAAAACACTGTCTATTGTGCATTTTATGGCTGGTACAAATCAGCAGTCTTAGAATTAAATGAAAATTGATTGTGATGTCACATTATTATGACCCCTGGGAGAAGTTTTTGAATTGTTCGTGAACATATTCATGAACAATTTCATGAATGTGCATTTGAACAAGTTCATGAATATGCATGAACAACAAATGAGACTTTTTTTCTTTCATGGACAATTCATGAATGGATATATTCATGAATGTTAACGAACATATATTCATGAACATGTTCATGAATATCTTGATTCATGAATTGTCCGTGAACGAAAAAAAGTCTCATTTGTTGTTCATGCACATTCATGAACTTGTCCATGAATATGTTCATGTACAGTTCATGAATTATTCATGGAATTCTCGCAGGGGCAAAATCATGAATAGTTAAAGCTGAACTTTTGGCAATTATTTATTAAGTTTAAAATATTTGCTATAATTATTTATCATTATAATTCAGACTTCACAGTGTGAGCCCTTATTTTGATAAATTAATTTTGTTGATATGATGTATGTAAAGTTAGAAAATAAAAGTCAGAAAAATATTAGATTTATCATTTTTTAATGCCTCAAATTATTGGATTTATCATTTTTAATGCCTTAATGCCATAAAATATTCATAAACTTGAAGATCCAGATACCTTGTTCATTGGGTGTTTAAAAATGAGAAATTGAAAAATGTTCAAAGGACGCTTCCCAAATCAATTTGGCTAGTGGAAACCCTGCAAGATCATCATTTGACTCCATTTAATATTAAATCTATACTTTATTATACATTGAATATCATTTCATGTCAAAATCTCAAATTTCGCATAATTTTGATTATATTTCAACTTTATCATAGTTTAATTCCAAGTCAAAATCTAAACTTTATATCATAATTTGATTCCTTTTCAAAATCTTAAACTTATCATTGTTTGATTTCATATCAAAATCTCAACTTTATTCAACTTTTTAACATTATTATTCAATAAATCCTTGTCAAAATCTAAACTTTATCAAAGTTTGATTCAAAGCCAAAATCTTAAACTTATCATTGTTTGATTTTATATCAAAATCTCAAATTTATCATAATTTTGTTGACTCCATGCCACAATCTTAACTTTATCTGCCAAATTCTTAATTTTATCATAATTTGATTCCATGTCAATATATTATCATAATTTTATTTCATGTCAAAATATTAACTTCATCATTGTTAGATTCCATGACAAAATCTTAACTTTATATTTATTTGATTCCATGACAAAATCTTAACTTTATATTTATTTGATTTGATTCCATGACAAAATCTTAACTTTATATTTATTTGATTCCATGACAAAATCTTAACTTTATATTTATTTGATTTGATCCATGACAAAATCTTAACTTTATATTTATTTGATTCCATGACAAAATCTTAACTTTATATTTATTTGATTCCATGACAAAATCTTAACTTTATATTTATTTGATTCCATGACAAAATCTTAACTTTATATTGATTTGATTCCATGTCAAAATTTTAACTTTATATTTATTTGATTCCATGACAAAATCTTAACTTTATATTTATTTGATTCCATGACAAAATCTTAACTTTATATTTATTTGATTCCATGTCAAATTATTAACATAATGATAATTTGATTCCATGCCAAAATATTAACTTCATCATTGTTAGATTCTATGGCAAAATCTTAACTTTATATTTATTTGATTCCATGACAAAATCTTAACATAATCATAATTTGATTCCATGCCAAAATATTAACTTTATCATTATTTGATTCAATATCAAAATCTCAACTTTATCATAATTATGTTGACTCCATGTCAAATCTCAACTTAGTGAAAATATGATTTCACGTCAAAATTTCACTTAATTATAATTTGATTTCATTTAATTTTATGATAATAAGATCATTTGATTCTATATCAAAATCTTAACTTTAGCATAATTTGAAAAGAAAAAAAATGATTCCATTTTATAACTTTAACTTTATCATTATCAGATTCCTTGTCAAAATCTTAACTGATTGATAAATATTATCATTAATGGTCATACATGAACAAGCTAAAACACAACTGTTAATAAATAAAATGGATAATACTGTGTTCGTATAGATAATTCTCATACTTGTATTAATATAAATGTCAATAAAAAGTTTTGCAACTGCAGATTATAAGATTAGGTTAAAGGTTAAATTAAGAACAAAAAATTTCACCAATTTCAAAATAATACAAGAAAACAATATTTTAGGGATATTACATGACAAAAAAAGTTGAAACACATAAAATATGCTGCACATTTAAATCTTTCATGTTGTAAAATATTTTGTCAAGTAGATATAATCTCACTACCTGGTTAATCATATCAACTGCTTTATTAAAATGCAATTTAAAAACATCAAGGGGAAATTGATACCTGATTAAAACCTACCTTATCCTACACTTACAGCAGATAGATTTTAACTTCCTCCTTTATTCAAAGATAATTTCAGATTTCAATAGAACAAAAATGTGTTTGTTAAACACAAATGCCACCTGCTCGGATTCTTGTCAGTTAAACTATATTTCAAAAAAAATGTTTATCCATTCACTCAGTTATGGACAGAAAAATTGCCAAAAATCTTTTAACACAGTTATATAACTTGGAGTCATGTCCTTTTGTAATTGTTAAAATAATAAGTTGGCAAGTCATTGCATATATAATGACTTGTAATGAAGATGAAAAATATTCAACTTTATCAAATGTATATAAATGCAGTGACCCCCTGGGGCAGGGCCTCTTTTTGCCCAGGGCTTTTATTTAAACAATCTTGGTAGACACCCATTAGAATATTTGTCATGTCTTTGTAATCTTGACTATTCATGGTCTATCTTGTCTTATTCATAGTTTACCTTGATTTATTCATAGTCTATGTTGACTTATTCACAGCCTACATATGTTGACTTATTCATAATCTTTATTGATTTATTCATAGTCTATCTTGAATATTTAAAGTCTATCTTGACTTTTTCATAATCTATCTGGACTTATTCATTATCATTAACAATCATACAAAACCACATTAAAACACAGTATATTTAGAGTACAACATTATAACCTAATTACCCATTTGAGCTGTAATAAAAAGTTATTCAGATAATACTGTGTTTATATTATGATAACTTTTATATTAAAACCAATGAAAATTAAAGTTTAGTGATTGCAAATTATAAAATTGTTTACAAGGAAATCAGGCTAAAAGTTAAACGTGGGAAAATATACAAAAATTTCAAAATGTTTACAAAGATGACAATTACAATTTATACGAAAAATGAATAAAAACAAATTAAAACATGCTGCAATTAGTTAAATCAGTTGTTTAATATTTTGACATGCATTTATAATCTCATGACCCAGTTCAAATTAACTTTAACAACTGCTATTTACAAATCCATTATAAATAACATGAAAAAGCATTAAAAGAATACCCGTTATCTACCATCTCTACACACAATTTAAATAAGAATAATCAGTATTTGAGTGGATAGATCTATACTTCCTCATAATTGTTCAATTTTAAACAGATGAAGACAGACAGTACTACATAGTAAATTTATGTTTTCAATAAAAAAAAATCATGGCATATTCCAGGATAGACTTCAGTGCTTCATTAACACAGGACTCTGATGAAGTTCAGGAAATGTTTTGTGAACATTGTGATAAACATGACAAACGATATGTTCCTGCTGAAGGATTTTGTGAGGAATGTTTCGAGTACTTGTGTGCTATATGTGTGAAGTTCCATAAAAGATTATTGGTCTCTCATACCATTAAGGATAAGGATAACATGCCACAGGATTTCTGTCGAGAGAAATGTTCTGTTCATCAAGATGAATTAGTCAAGTTCTATTGTCAAGCATGCAAGAAATTTGCCTGTACTGAATGCAAGACTCAAGACCATGGGAACTGTAGTATGGTCAATCATTTGCCAGTTCTTGTTTCAGGGATTGAAAACAGCCAAGAAATCAAAGGACTCACTGAAAATCTTGATGAGTTAATGAAAGATTTGGAGAATACAGAAAAACATGTTAACATAAACATGAAATATGTCGCTTCACAAGAAACAAAGATATTAGATACAGTCATGAAAAAAAAGAAAGAAATATTGTCAGTGTTTGAAAAATATCAGACAGATATAATTCAAAACTTTGAGAAAAAAAAAGAAGAAATCTTACAAAAACTTGAAGAAGAGAAAAAAGAGAAAATCAACAAATTACAAGAAAATCAAAGGAAATTAGAAAAGTTATTAAATGATGAGGAAAATGAAATTAAGAGGAAAATTGAAATCATAAAAAAGAATGACAAGAAAGTTTTGCAGACAATCACTGAAGAAACCTCCAAAATAAAAACAAAAATGAACAGCATATCAGCAGAGTTGGTGCATCATCAAGGTACAGATCGAAGATGTCAACTGTTTGTTGCTATGAAGATGGGGCAAGAAATCATTGATCAATTGAAACCAGATGCAGATAAACAATGTACGAACAATTCAATTCATTATTACAAAGTAGAATGCAAAGCTTCTAAACAAAATATAACCAATTTACAAGACTGTGACAAATTTCTCACCTATCAAGAAATACATGAATCTGAAGTACCAAGAACTGCAAGTTATCACACAGGTATTGAATTCACATGTTACACCTGGTCATCTTTATGTTTATTATCTGAAAACTGTCTTCTAGTTACTCATTATTATATTAGTAAGCTGATTATATTCAAGAATATGTCAGTCAGCACTACATCATATGATACAATAGACCTGCCTTCAAAACCTTGGGCATTTGCTAAAGTTGACAATAACAAAGTTGCTGTAACATTTCCTGAACTTACAATAGTAAGACTGATAACATTCTCTAAGTCTATGACAGTGACCAAAACTGAAGATATAGAAGTAGGAGAAGGTTGTCATGGTGTTGCCTATAGTGACAACAAGCTTATAGTATCTTACCTAACCATTCCAGCAACAGTGAAAATACTTGACATGTCTGGTAAAGTATTGAAAACATTTGATAAAGATCAGCATGGGAGATGTCTGTTTGTTATTCCTAATTACTTAACAGTCAGTGCAGACAACACTGTTATATATGTATCTGACTATAATACAAACTGTGTGACAGGTTTAACATTTGATGGGAAAGTCAAGGCAATTTACAATGATGACCAGTTGCTGGGGCCATGTCAACTGACAGTAGATAGGTCTGGAGCAGTGTTTGTATGTGGATTATGGTCAAACAATATACATCAATTATCACCTGAACTGACCAAGGTGAAGATTCTACTGGATGAAGAACAAGGAATGAACCAACCAGTAGGTGTGGCATACTGCCAGAATACAAACAGATTGTATCTGAATCAATCAGAAAGAAACATGGAAGTGTATGATGTATCACTGGAATAAAACTATTCTATTTCTACCACTTCTTGAAACTAAATTTACAAAATGCTTCAGGCCTCTAGCCTATTGCACGGCAAATAGTGCAACACATAGAATTAACAAAATTGGTTCATTATTTACAAAGTATGAATGATTTAGAACACTGATAACAAACTGTTGAAAAAAAATGAATAATGGCAAGTCTGCTTTGACTCTGTTCAAATGTTACACAGCTTTATAATTTAAAAAGGTGCCTTTTACTATCCTTGAACAAAACAAAATATAAAGGGAAGTGTTAAGGCTTACATAAAGCAATATTTATATATGTTTTGATTTAATAATATGAAACAGCTCTACATTCATTTGTAAGAATGTGGGCTGCATGTTTTGTTTCTATTTTAAGTTAATTTGAAATTTAATAACATTTGATATTGTGTAGTTTTATCAGCATATCAAAACAATAAATCAGTAAACAGATAAGCTTTAGTATAAGTAATAAATCTATAATTATTGTTGAAATGCTTGACATGTGGTCTTTGTTTGTCTTGGTTGGTTTTACCTTACACCAACACTATTTTGGTCACAATCTACCAGAACAGGAAAGATAATTTTGGCTCACATCTGGTGTTACAAACTTAAAAGCAACACCAGGAGCCAAAACCATATCACCTGTTGGAGCTGAGAGATGCATAGACTCCATTAATTCTAACCCATTTAGTTGTCTCTCACTATCATGCAGGGATAAACAGTGGCTGCAATTCTGATGCCTCAACCCTTAAAAACAACCCCTTAGCCACAAAATGACAACCTTTTCTGCAGCAAACACACAAAAACACACAAAATTATGATGGACATTTAGAATCATCTGTACAATCTGGCAGTGAAATATCAATATTCAATAACATCTTTATCATCTTAATTATCTAATGACCACAAATGTATGTTTATAAACAAAAATTACTAAAAAAGTGTTGAATAAGATATCAAGAAAATGTCTGAATCGAAAAAATATTTGCACCATCATGTGAAATAAAATAAAATAAAATATTTTTTTTATTGTATGTGCTTGTTTTATACTGTCAACTACATCAGAATAGTTAGATGACAAAGACAGAAAACAGAAGGAGAAATTTTGAGATCCTTAAAATTGTTCAGATTAAAGAGGTTTCTGAATTTTTGAAAATTTCTAATTTGGAAGTTGCACTGTAATGGAAACCTTCAAAATATAACAAGCAATTATCATAGTATTGCAAGCAATCCATAAGTCCCCTACCGGTTAGAACCCAAGCAACATTCTGATGGGCCATTGGCCATTCAATTTTACCAGTGAATGAATGACATGAATGAACATACAGTCGACTCTCGTTATCTCGAAGTCATCGGGACCGTCCAAAAAATATCGAGATAACGAAATGTCGAGATAAACATATTAGGGTTTGAATAAGGCAGAAACCAATTTTTACAAAAGACATGTGCAAATAAACTATGATATCCCCAAGTCTCCTTTTCATAGGCCTAGCCAATATTTAACAAAGTAACATTAGCGGGTGTTTACCAGCCGAAAAACGGGTGTCTGTGATAAAAAACAAATAGTGAGGTTTACTCAGTAATACACCAATATAGGGAAAACATCAGGGTGGTTGATCCGGATATCCTCCCGGGTTAGTTTTCGGGTCTTTCTTGAGATTGTTCGACCGCTGATTGATCTGGTGGTGATGTTGTGAAACATTATTGCAACGATAGCGTTTCTATACTTTCACTATTTCATTTACATTTAAAGTCATAATGAATTAATACAGTGTTCGAATATATATAAAGAACGTAAAATTCACTCATTTTGGACATAAGTCAATCAGCACGCTAAATAGATTAACTTTTATAAAAACAGCTAAACTTGTTACAAACATAATCATCATTATGACACAGGCTATTGAGCAATTATCGCCTAGTTTGTGTTTTTCACGCGTCTGAAGGGAACAGATGAAAGAAAACTAAATGTCGAGATAAACAAAGGATAATAGTGTGAAAATAACTGTTGGGGTTGAAATTTTACATCGAGATACTGAAAATATCGAAATAAAAATATCGAGATAAACAAATATTTCCAATATAGACAAAGAAGGAAGAAAATCAGGACTTTCAAAATTTCATCGAGATAACGAAATATCGAGAAAAGCGATGTCGAGATAACGATAGTTGACTGTAAATCTTTTGAGTTCTAAGTTTGTCTATATCACAGTAATGTGTTAAGTTTCCCTGCCTAGTAAGGAAATAATGTTTATACAACCTTGTCATATTATTACAATGTGGGATTTTAAAGTAAATCCTATAAGGAATAAAGAAGTTGGAGTGAAAAATACCAATTTCTTGAAAAAAATCAATCTAAGTTCAAGGTGGACATAATCCTGGAAATAGTCTTGCTAGAGTATTTAACCTCCTCAAAAATGTTGAGTGATAATAAGAAACATATATATATGAAGTTTGAAGTAGATACATTAGGAAATAAAGAAGTTATTTAAAAAAGACAACATTTTTTTTCATAAAAATTCTAAGTTCAAGGGAGGTAATACTGATAATTTTTGTGCTAGAGTTGTAAACCTTGCCACATATGATGTGGTTGATGACCAGAAACTTATATTTAAACCAGAATTTTCAACATAGGAAGAAAAGAAAAAGATGTGCATAATCTCCAGACTGCCATCTACCCATATTTCAAGTTTCATAAAAATATTTTTAGTACTTTTTGAGTTATCACTGGATCCAGTTTATGTGTTAAATTTGCCATATTTTCAGACTATTTGTTGCCATAGCAACCAGAATTTTCAACATAGGAAGAAAAGAAAAAAACGTGCATAATCTCCATACTGCCATCTATCCATATATCAAGTTTCATAAAAATATTTTCAGTACTTTTTGCGTTATCGCGGGATCCAGTTTTGTGGACGGACGGACTGACAGACTGACAGACAGACAGACAGACAGACGGACGGAGGGTAAACCTTAAGTCCCCTCAGGTTAAACCGGTAGGGGACTAATAAGTGCAACCTTGACCTTTGGGGTAGGAGCCTGGTTCTTGAATGCAACACATCGTCTTGATATTGAAGACATTTGTGCCAAACTTTTTCAAAATCCCTTACTGCATGACAAATTTACGCAGCAGACACAATGTTGTATTAGTGGAGGCGTTCAAAGTCAGGGATACTTGTGTGACTTGGAGAACAATAGCTATCAGTAAATTCTCTTTGATCCTATTCATTTCGTTTTTTATTTGTGTTTCTTTTTTTAAGCATTGTCTGACTAAAAATGGCTAAAAAGAACAAAGGAAAAGTCAAATAAGTACCATTTTGTAAGCATACAGACAGACATGACAGACAGATGGATGGACTGTGTGATTATAATATGCTGTCCTTTGGGGGCATAAAAAAGAAAATTAATTAAATTAATTAACAACATTGTCGCAGAGAAGCTTTTGACAGAGATGTGGGCATTATAGATATGCAGTATCCGGAAAATATCTGTATATATTATCATCTCTAGTGATTTTTATATCTGAACTTTGACCCCTATGTATGACCTTGACCTTGGCCACAGGGACCTAAATTTTGCACTCGACACTCCACCTCACCATAGTAAACATATATGCCAAGTTATATAGAAATCCCTCTATGCATGTCTTGCTCTGAACAAACGTTTTTCAATGACCTCTAAGTGTGACACTGACCTTTGACCTAAAAACCTGGTTCATGCACGCAACATGACTTTTCATAGTGGTGAACATTTCTTTGAAGTTTATTAGAAACCTTCCATATGTGAGATATGCTCTGGACAAAATCTCTATATTTTATCATATTTAGTGACCTTGACCTTGCATATCCTAAATTACATGTTTCACACCAGTAATCATGAAAATGACCATTTGTGTTTCTTTTCCTCAATCACTGATGACAAAATGGACACATTTTCACATTTTTATCTGAACTTTGACCCCCCATGTGTGACCTTGACTTTAGACTCAGGGACCTAAATTTTACATGTAACACTCCGTCTCACAATAGTAAACATTTGTGCCAAGTTATATTGAAATCCCTCTATGCATGTAGAAGTTTTGTTCAAGATAAGCGTTTTTCAATGACCTCTTCATGTGACCTTGACCTTTGACCTGGAGGCCTGGTTCATGTGCGTGACACGGCTTCTCATAGTGAGTAACATTTTTATGAAGTTTCATTAAAATTCCTCCATGGGTGTAGGAGTTATGCTCCAGACAAAAATTGGACGCTGACCGACCGGCCACCAACCCGCCCGCCAGGGGGATACTACAATTTGACCCGTTTTTCAAACGGGTATATAAAAATACTAGAAAATCAAAGGAAATTAGAAAAGTAATTACTAGATGCTATAGGGCAACTAGTTGAGCCCGCTGACAAGCTGTCTCATGATGTTGAACATTTGTACAAGGTTTTTAAAGTTCCACCAGCAAGTGATAGAGGATGGACAGATGCAGGCACGCATGTACATACACCAAACCGCCTTTGTGATAACTATGTTGGGCGCTCCGCAAGCGGGCTCAACAAAAAAATGAGGAGAATGAAATAAAGAAGAAAATTGAAATGATAAAACAGGATAACAAGAAAATTTTGAAGACATTGATTATCTTGATTGATTCATATCTATCCTGACGTATTCCTAATCTATCTTGATTTATTCATAATCTATCCTGACTTTTTCATAACCTATAATGACTTATCATTTTATTATCATTAATGATTATACATCACCACATGAAAACACATTAAATGTAGTGTTCAACATTATAACCTAATTACCCATTTGAGATGTAATAAAAAGTTATTAAGACAATACTGTGTTTATATTATGATAACTTTTATATTAAAACCAATGTAAATTAAAGTTTAGTGATTGCAAAATGTAAGTTTGTTTACAATGAAATCAGGTTAAGGTTAAAGGTTAAATATGGGAAAATATACACAAATTTCAAAATATTACAAAAACATGACAATTTACAAGTTTTATTGTCCAACAACATTGACCTGGCACTCTTGCTTTTGACCCTGTAGTCGGTATATTCTGTAAATGTCACGATCTACTTGTAAATCGATATAAATGTAAATATCAAATTGTTACAATATTGTAAAATAAAAATTCCTCTTAGCGCAGTTGGTAAATGTATTTCACTTGAGGAATGTATACGTTAACTGGTAGGTTCGAATCCTATTTCAGCGAATAATTTTTTATTTTAATTTTAAAATTGCCATTCTCTTAAAACTATTGAAAACGTTTTTGTTGTGTGTAATATCTGTGTTGTATCTTTATATAATACATATTATACATTCATTTTTCTACCTAAACATATCCTGTTGTTGTTGTTGTTGTTGTTGTTTTCTATTTCAGAAGGCCACATTGGAAATAAGATATATATGATTGTTATTATATGTTCTTAATGTGTAACCTTCTTTAAATAAAGATATTATTATTATTATTATTATTATTATTATTATTATTATAGCGTGTATGCGCTAAAGTATATACTATTGCATAATGTAAAAAAGAGAAATATTGAAAGATACTATTCATAAAATAAAAATATTATGGCTGCGCAAAAAAACACCACTTAAAATAAATTCTAAAACCAGTTGTAGTAAACCGATTTCAAATTAATTGTTGCAAGTAATTAAAAAAAATGAAAACTAAAAATCAACACAGGGCCATAATTCTGTTAAATTTGGTCGCAGCAAAAATTCCTACCTTAATATTTCCATCTACACATTAAGGTTGTAAATCCCTGGAAGTTTAAGCAAAATCTGCCATCCGGTTTAAGACGAGTTGCGTTCACAAAATTTCTACATAGTATATAATGAAAAAAAACAACTAAGGGCCATAATTCTGTTAAATTTGGTTGCAGCAAAAATTCCTTCCTTTACTACCATCTACACATAAAGGTTGTTCACCCTTGGAAGTTTAAGCAAAATCTGCCATCTGGTTTAAGAGGAGTTGCGTTCACAAAATTTCTACATAGTATATAGTGAAAAAATCAACAAAGGGCCATAATTCTGTTAAATTTGGTCGCAGCAAAAATTCCTGCCTTTACTACCATCTACACATTAAGGTTGTTCATCCCTGTAAGTTTAAGCAAAATCTGCCATGCGGTTTAAGAGGAGTTGCGTTCACAAAATTTCTACATAGTATATAGTGAAAAAATCAACAAAGGGCCATAATTCTGTTAAATTTGGTCACAGCAAAAATTCCTTCCTATACTACCATCTACACATTAAGGTTGTTCATCCCTGTAAGTTTAAGCAAAATCTGCCATGCCGTTTAAGAGGAGTTGCGTACACAAAATTTCTACATAGTATATAGTGAAAAAATCAACAAAGGGCCATAATTCTGTTACATTTGGTCGCGGCAAAAATTCCTTCCTTTACTACCATGTACACATTAAGGTTGTTCATCCCTGTAAGTTTAAGCAAAATCTGCCATGCGGTTTAAGAGGAGTTGTGTTCACAAAATTTCTACATAGTATCTAGTAAAAAAATCAACAAAGGGCCATAATTCTGTTAAATTTGGTCGCAGCGAAAATTCCTTCCTTTACTACCATCTATACATTAAGGTTGTTCATCCCTGTAAGTTTAAGCAAAATCTGCCATCCGGTTTAAGAGGAGTTGCGTTCACAAGATTTCGGGACGTACAGATGGACTGACGAATTGACGGACGGACGGACTGACGAACGGACGGACAAGTGCAACGCTATAAAATTATGCTCCCACAATGTTGGGGCATAAAAGTTCATAACGTGGTGTTGGTAAGGAATCGAACCAGTGACCTTCAGATCATAAGTCCAACATGTATACCAATACACCACGCCTCCCTGACGAGTGAAGTTAGCAAATTCGACATATTCAATAGATACTAGTCAGTGTTTATTCAAATGACCTTTACAAAAGTTAATGAGGTGCCAGGTCAATATTGTTGGACAATATATATCTTTATTTTGCATGAAAAATGAGTCAAAACAAATTAAAACATGTTGCAAGTGTAATCAGTTGTTTCAGATTTTGATTTTTTTTTTATAATCTCATACCTTAGTAGTAGTAGTTTATGGTAACAACTGCTATTTATAAATCTATTGTCAATATCATGAAAAGGTGTATAGATACCAGTACACTCTACACGCATTTTAAACAAGAATAATAAATCTCTCAGTGGATAGAATTATACCATTTTAAACACAACTTTGTGATAGTCTAAGACAGTCTTCAAAGTTAATTCATGATTTAAATTAGATTTAAAAAAATCATGGCACATTCAAGGATAGACTTCAGTGCTTCATTAACACAGGACTCAGATGAAGATAGATAACTATGAATTAATATCAGTATTACTTTAAATATTGAGATTATTTTAAACAAAACACAAGTTTGTGGTTACCAAAGTACCTGAATTATGGCATTTTCAATTGGAAGTGATTTCAGTACCTCATTTACACAGGACTCCGGTGAAGTTAAAGAAATGTTTTGTGAGGTTTGTGATAAACATGACAAGAAATATGTACCTGCTAAAGGATTTTGTGTGGAATGTTTTGAGTATTTGTGTGGGACTTGTCTAAAATACCATAAAATATATATGAAATCCCACACCATAAAAGATAAGGATAACATGCCAAAGGATTTCTGTATAGCGAAATGTTCTGTTCATCAAGATGAACTGATCAAGTTCTATTGTCAAGATTGTAAGAAAGTTGCATGTACTGAATGCAAGAGTCAGGACCATGGAAAGTGTAGTATAGTCTGCCATTTACCAGCTCTTGTTCCAGGGATTGAAAATAGCCAAGAATTTAAAAAACTCACTAAAAATCTTGATGAGTTAATGAAAGATTTGGAAAATACAGCAGAGCAAGTGAACATAAACATGAAATATGTCGCTTCACAAGAAACAAAGATTTTAGATACAGTCATGAAAAAAAAGAAAGAAATATTGTCAGTGTTTGAACAACATCACACAGATATAATTCAAAACTTTGAGAAAAAAATAGAAGAAACCTTACAAAAACTTGAAGAAGAGAAAAAAAAGAAAATTAAAAAATTACAAGAAAATCAAAGGAAATTAGAAAAGGTATTAAATGATATGGAAAAAGAAATTAAGAGGAAAATTGAAATCATAAAGAAGAATGACAAGAAAGTTTTACAGAAAGTCATTGAAGAAACCTCCAAAATGAAAACAAAACTAAACAGCATATCAACAGAGTTGGTGCATCATCAAGGTACTACAGATCAAAGATGTCAACTGTTTGTTGTTATGAAGAAGGGACAGGAAATCATTGATCAATTGAAACCAGATGCAGAAAAACAAAGTAACAACAATTCAATTCATTATTACAAGGTAGAATGCAAAGATTCTGAACAAAATATAACCAATTTACAAGACTGTCACAAATTTTTCACCTATAAAGAAAAACATGAATCTGAAGTACAAAGAACTGCAAGTTATTACACAGATATTAAATTCAGATGTGACATCCCGTCATCTTTATGTTTATTATCTGAAAACTGTCTTCTGGTTACTAATTATACTTCTTGTAAGCTGATTTTATTCAAGGATTTGTCAGTCAGCATGTCATCATCTGATACAATAGACCTGCCTTCCAACCCATGGGTTGTTGCTAAAGTTGGCAATAACAAAGTTGCTGTCACATTTCCAAGATCTGAAATTATAAGTCTGATAACATTTTCTAAGTGTATGACAGTGACCAACATTGAAGATATAAAAGTAGGAGAATGTTGTCATGGTGTTGCCTATAGTAACAAAAAACTTATAGTACCATTCACAGACAGTCCAGCAAGAGTGAAGATACTTGACATGTCTGGTAAGGTATTGAAAATATTAATTAAAGATCAGCATGGGACATGTCTGTTTGCTGATCCTCATTACTTAACAGTCAGTGCAGACAACACAGTTATATTTGTATCTGACTTTAGGAAAAACTGTGTGACAGGTTTAACATTTGATGGAAATGTCAAGGCCATTTATGAGGATGACCAGCTGAATAAACCATATCAACTGACAGTAGATAGGTCTGGAGCAGTGTTTGTATGTGGATTTGGGACAAACAATACACATCAATTATCACCTGACCTAACCAAGGTGAAGATTCTACTGGATATAGAACAAGGAATATATGGACCAGTAGGTGTGGCATACTGCAAGAATACAAAAAGAATATTAACTATGTGAGTCAACGTGCTGGTAACATTAAAGTGTTTGATTTATCACTGGAATAAAACTTTTTCTATGTGAATAGCTTGCAGAAAATACTTGAAAAATATTATACATTGAATTTCATTTTATATTTCTTATAATTGCAAAAGGATTATAATAATGATGATTTTTTAAAATAAAAAATGTTTTGTATTTATTTGTGTGTTTCTTGTAGTGGTGTCATATTATCTGTTTATATAGATTTGATTATTTAAGCCAATAACAGGTAAGAATAATTGGTATCCAGGCTAATTTTAGGCCAACAAATGAAGAACTTTTAATTAAAAAAAATACATTTTTCCTTCATGACAAGATATGACATTTGTATGTATTCTATTTGTACATTTGTATTTTTTCTGACTGCACAGAATGTCTTATCATGAAATGGATAATAGTTATTCTATAATTGGTTATGTTTTGTAATCATTGTTGAGTACAACAAAATACAAACATAATTTGATATCTAAGAATCTAAGAAATCTTTTATAATGATTGCTTAAACATTTAACACCGTTATCAAGTCACCATTTATACAATCAGCGTTTTGGCCCACCGTAACACCCCATGTTTTGTGTCATAATGCCTTCATGTTTGAGAAATATAAGAACAATTTAATTGTCTACAGGTCTTAAACATTTAAATCTAAGCTTTTTGTACACTATAATTAAATAAATGATTCTTTGTACTTTATAATTTAGTCTATAATTCTTATATTTTTTCTCTCTATAATTTATGCAGTGTTATTTTCCTGCATATTTGTGAAACCTCAATGTAAGCTATAAACTTCATTTTTGTCACTAAATAATTAAATGAAAAAATTCATACCTATTTATACATTATATTACTATCAGATCATATTAATGTTTTGTAAATAAAAGTTTATGATATCATTCATAGTGTATTATTTTCATCTCGACACTTTGAATTCTAAATCAATTACTGCAATATTTATCTATAAGATTAACTCTAAAATCAAATTGATTTTGAGACTTGATCATGAACTTTTTCATTTCATGATTTAATCACTCTAAGAAATAGACTGCAAAACATTATTAATTTCATAGATTTTTACTACAAAATAATAATATAAAATTTAATGATTTCTTTTGATAAGGCATGTATCAATGTTACTTAAATATTAGTTAATAGAAAAAAGTTTTATTTAGTATTGAAATTATACACATAATTACTCAAGGAATAAAATTTCAAGAGTTTGCAAATAAGGTGCTATATAAACAAGAGCCAGTTGAACCAGGTGATGCTCCCTAAATAGGTTTTGGACACAGGAAGGTATACCTCTTGTAGTGTCAGAGTTATATCACAGACAAAGTTCAAAGTGTAAAAACAACCCAAATGTTGTGCACGACACATTGTCTCAATATGGTGATCATTTCTGTGAAATAGTTGTAAAATCTGACTTCAAATAACAAAGTTATGGTCCGGACATGATTTTGCTGCAAGGTCATGCTGTGACCTTGACCTTAAAGGTAGCGACCCAAATGCTGCATGCGACACTTTGATTCAATATGGTGATTATTTCTGTGAAATAGTTTTAAATCAGACTTCAAGTAACAAAGTTATGGGCCCGACACGATTTTGCTGCAAGTTCATGCTGTGACCTTGACTTTCAAGGTAGTGACCCAACTGTTGTGCTCGCCACGTCATGTCAATATGGTGATAATTTGTAAAATAGTTTTTAAAATCCGACTACAAATAACGAATTTATGGGCCGGACATGATTTTGCTGCAAGGTCATGCTGTGACCTTGACCTTCAAGATAGCGACTTAAATGTTGCACGTGACACGTCGTCTCAATGTGGTGATCATTACTGTGAAATAGTTTTAAAATCCTACTTCAAATAAAGAAGTTACGGGCCAGACAAGATTTTGCTGCAAGGTAATGCTGTGACCTTGACCTTCAAGGTAACGACCTAAATGTTGCACCCGACATGTCGCCTCAATATGGTAGTCATTTCTGTGAAATAGTTTTAAAATCCGACTTCAAATAATGAAGTTATGGGCCAGACATGATTTTGCTGCAAGGTCATACTGTGACCTTGACCTTCAAGATAGCGACCCACATGATGCACGCGACACGTCGTCTCAATGTGGTGATAATTACTGTGAAATAGTTTTAAAATCCGACTTCAAATAACGAAGTTATGGGTCGGACACGATTTTGCTGCAAGGTCTTGCTGTGAGTTATTGATGTCATGTGACATACCATCCTTTATAAACCATTATGAAGTACCCTAAAGTTTCAAAACACTGGTATATTAAATAATTTTCTCAAATTATTCTATTAATGTGTTTGTTTGTTTTTGCTTCCTTTTCCTTAGTTTGTATAATGATGATCTTTCCAAGACTTGTATAAGCTTTATTCATGAATGGAAAATACTGTAAAAAAAACATGAAACTATTTAAGCAATATCATAAGAGGTGCATCCAAGGACAATATTGTGATCAGGTGAACAAAAAATGTTCAACTATGATGTTCAATATGTCTTCTTGCAAAATAGTTATTCATGTAGTAATAACCTGGCAACGTGATGACCTAGTGTATCTTATCAACTGCTTTTTATAAAACCCTTTTCAATATCACACTTAAAAAGCATACAATTTATCAGTGGGTAGTTTCATACTTCCTGTTTGTGATCAGTTTTAAACACAACTTACAGGTAGAAAGTAATGCATTGTAAATTATAGTTTTAAATGAAAAATCATGGCAAATTCCAGGATAGACTTCAGTGCTTCATTTACACAGGACTCTGATGAAGTTCAGGAAATGTTTTGTGAGGTTTGTGATAAACATGACAAGCAATATGTTCCTGCTGAGGGATTTTGTGAGGAATGTTTCGAGTACTTGTGTGAGACTTGCCTTAAATACCATAGAGTATACAAGAAATCTCATACCATAAAGGATAAGGATAACATGCCACAGGATTTCTGTCTGGAGAAATGTTCTGTTCATCAAGATGAATTAGTCAAGTTCTATTGTCAAGCTTGTAAGAAATTTGCCTGTACTGAATGCAAGACACGAGACCATGGGAATTGTGGTATGGTCGGCCATTTGCCAGCTCTTGTTCCCGGAATTGAAAACAGCCAAGAAGTCAAAGAACTTAATGAAAATCTTGATGAGTTAATGAAAGATTTGGGGAATACAGAAAAACATGTTAACATAAACATGAAATATGTCACTTCACAAGAAACAAAGATATTAGATACAGTCATGAAAAAAAAGAAAGAAATATTGTCAGTGTTTGAAAAGCATCACAAAGACATAATTCAAAATTTTGAGAAAAAAAAAGAAGAAACCTTCCAAAAACTTGAAGAAGAGAAAAAAGAGAAAATTGAAAAATTACAAGATAATCAAAGGAAACTAGAAAAGTTATTAAATGATGAGGAGAATGAAATAAAGAAGAAAATTGAAATCATAAAAAGGGATGACATGAAAATTGTGCAGGCAATCACAGAGGAAACCTCTAAAATGAAAATAAAACTAAAAGCCATATCAACAGAGCTGGTGCATCACCAAAATACAGATCAAAGATGTCAACTGTATGTTGCTATGAAGAAGGGACAGGAAATCATTGAACAACTGAAACCAGATATAGATAAACAATGTAAAGACAATTCAATTCATTATTACAAAGTAAAATGCAAAGCTTTTGAACAAAATGCTACCAATTTACAAGACTTTCACAAATTTTTCACCTATAAAGAAATACATGAATCTGAAGTACCAAGAACTGCAAGTTATTACACAGATATTAAATTCACATGTCACTCCTTTTCATCTTTATGCTTGTTAACAAAAGACTGTCTTCTGATAACTGAGTTTGACTCATGTAAGCTAATTATATTCAAGGATTTGTCAGTCAGCAATTCATCATATGATACAATACATTGATCTGTCTTCCAAGCCTTGGGCTGTTGCTAAAGTTGACAATAACAAATCTGCTGTAACATTTCCTAATCTTGGAATATTAAGACTTATAACATTCTCTAAGTCTATGACAGTGACCAACATTGAAGATATAAAAGTAGGACAACGTTGTTGGGGTATTGTCTATAGTGACAACAAGCTTATAGTACCATACACAGACAGACCAGCAACAGTGAAGATACTTGATATGACTGGTAAAGTATTGAAAACATTTGAAAGAGATCATCAGGGGAGATGTCTGTTTGATTATCCTCTTTACTTAACAGTCAGTGCAGACAACACAGTTATATATGTATCTGACCCTGACAATAACTGTGTGATAGGTTTAACCTTTTGATGGGAAAGTCAAGGCCATTTACAAGGATGACCAGCTGAAGGGGCCATTTCAACTGACTGTAGATAGGTCTGGGGCAGTGTTTCTATGTGGACGTTTGTCAGACAATATACATCAGTTATCACCTGACCTGACCTGACCAAGGTGAAGATACTGCTGGATGAAGAACAAGGAATAAAAAGTCCAGAAGGTGTGGCATATTGCCAGGATACAAACAGATTATATGTGATTCAATATCATGGTAACATTAAGGTGTATGATTTATCACTGGAATAAACTATTCTATTTCTGCCACTTCTTAAAACTTAAACTACAAAATGCTTCAGGCATTTAGCCTATCACATGGCAAATATGCAACACATGGAATTAACAAAGTTGGTTCTTTATTTATAAAGTATAAATGATTTAGAACACTGATAAAATACTATAGTAATTCAAACCCATCTAGTGGCTCTAACTATCACACAGGGATAAATGGTGGCTGCAATTCTGATGCCTCAACCCTTAAAGGCAACCCCTCAGCCTCAAAGTGACAACCTTTTCTGCATCAAACACACAAAATTATGATTTTTATATGATAAATACAACAGTATGGACATTTAGAATCATCTGCACAATTTCTGACAGTGAAAGAACAATATTCATTAAAGAGAGCTAATATTGTGATCATATTAATTATCATATGACCACAAGTGTATGTTACTAAACAATAATGACTAAAAAAGTGTTGAATAATATTTCAAGAAATATGTTTAAACATAAAAAAATATTTGCAACATTGCATCATGTGACATAAAAGAAAGAAAATAAAGAATAAGATTTTGTATGTGTTTGTTTTACACTGTCCACTATATCAAAATAGTTAGATGACAAGCCAATCAATTGTCAAATAGTAAAAATAAGGCTTTCTGCAGATACTTTTTGCAACAGCCCATGCATTCTGAATTGGGAAATTTTTGTATGGTGCTCAATAAGAATACAGATCTGACAACTGAATATGACAACTTTGAAGTCTTAGTTTTTTAACTGACTTAGGTTTTTTTTTATTATAAACTAATGAAGTATAAATAGCATAGTATTCAAGAGAAAAGAATAATAACAGTTTGATAAATGTTTCATTTTATTGTAAATGTTCATATTAATGTAAAATAAAGTGCCTGTTACGACTTGGGACAATTTTATATACCTACATGTACAATATACCTACAAGTATGCATAATTGCATTTATTACAATATATTAATATACCTAAAGTGTTTTCCCTTTCATTGCAAAAAGCCATTTACATCAAAATATTTTATATTATTTGGTAAATTAAATATTCCAGAATGTTTTAGAGCTATTCACATTTATTCTTTATTAATTAGTACTGGATAAAACCCTTTAAAAATAACTTTTAAATGGTAATCTTATTTAAACATACATTTGTATTCCCTTAGTTTTTAGGTTATATCTAACTTTGAAATACAGTCGACTCTCGTTATATCTATAATCAAAGTCAATAGGATCCGATTGTCCAAAAAATATCAATATAATGAAATGTCAAGATAAACATATCTGGGTTTGAACCTGATAGAAACTGATGTTAACAAAATACATGTGCCTACCTAAAGTCAAATAAGCTAAGTATGATATCTCCATGTCTTGTTTTTGCAAAGTCAATATTTTAAATAAAGTTACATTAGCCGATGTTTACCAGCGGAAATACAGAAGTCCGTGATAAATACACATAGTGAGGTTTACTCAGGTAAATACACCACTATAGCAAAAACATTGGTTTCAGCATGGTCGATCCAGATTATCCGCCCCAATTAGTGATCGGGCTCTTCTTGAGATTGTTCCATCGCTGTTTGATTTTTTTTAATGTTGAGAAACAATATTGCAATGATAATGTTTCCATATTTTCACTATCTCATTCACATTTTAAGTCATAATGGATTAAATACAGTGTTCAAATATTTCATAAATAACAGAAGTTTCATTCATTTAGGACATATAATGAATTAAATACAGTGTTCAAGTATTTTATAAATAACAGAAATTTCACTCATTTTGGACATATAATGAATTAAATACAGTGTTAAGTATTTAATAAATAACAGAAATTTCACTCATTTTGGACATAAGTCAATCAACACGATAATTTGATTAACTTTATAAAAACAGCTTGATTTGTTTCAAACATAATCATCATTATGACACATGTTTTTGAGCAATTATTAGTCAAGATAATCAAAGGATGATAGTGTGAACATAACTGTTTGGGCTGAAATTTTACTTCAAGATACCGAAAATATTTAAATAAAAATATCAAGATAAACAAGAGGGCCATGATGGCCCTGAGGTCGCTCACCTGTATATAGGCCCCCACAACCCCCAACCCCCCCAACGTTGCAGGGCCAATTTAACCCAAGGGCTTTTATTTGCACAAACTTGGTAGACACCCATAAGAAGATGTTTCATGCTAAACATCTAAGCTCTAGCTCATTGGGCTTTTTAAAAGAAGATTTTTTAAAGTTTTTACGATACACATATAGTTAAAAACAATGACACCCCTGGGGCCGGGCCAGTTTTGACCCAAGGGCTTTTATTTGAACAAACTTTGTAGACACTGACTAGAAGATGTTTCATGCTTAATATCTAAACTCTAGCTTTTTGGGTTTTTTCAAAGAAGATTTTAAGTTTTTGCTATACACACATAAAGAAAATCAAGACCCCCGGGGCGGGGCCAATTTTGACCCCAGGGCTTTTATTTGAACAAACTTGGTAGACACCTATTAGAACATGTTTGATGCTAAATATCTAAGCCATAGCTCTTTGAGTTCTTTAAAGGGAGACTCGGGCAAAATTGTGATTTCTTAGTTTCGAATTTTTCATTTATTATTCTGTAAATGCCCTCAAAATAAATATATTAGACAGTCAAAGAAACACAACTTTTCTCCATATAGAAATAAAATGGTGGTTTTCTAACTTGACCCGCGTGGGTCAGGTTAGAGCGCTAGGATTTCACAATAGTTGTCAAAGTGAACTCTGGAAACGTTAAAGAACATATCAAATGAATGACTTAGACTTGTTTCAACCATACAATATCCACAATATCTGTTATTGTAACTTCAAGGGTTTGTTCAAGTCATCTGACTTGTTTTTTAAACTATTTGGTGATTCTATTTGAGTCTAAATTTTGTTAAACATATATAGATGTATTTATGCTTCAACCCCAAAATGTATAGAATTTAAACAGAAATTCATGCTGAAACTTCAAGAAAAGTCATCTTAGTGTGATTTGAGTACATAAGATCATTTTAATATTTTCGTCATTATTTTGCCTGAATATCCCTTTAAAAGAAGATTTTTTAAGTTTTTACTAAAAATTTATGCATATAGGGAAAATCAATGACCCCCCCGGGGCTGGGCCAATTTTGACCCCAGGGCTTTTTTTTGAACAAACTTGGTAGACACTTATTAGAACATGTTTCATGCTAAATATCTTAGCTCTAACTCTTTTGGTTCTTTAAAAGAAGATTTTTTAAGTTTTTACTATATGCATATAGGGAAAAATCAATGACCCCCTGGGGCGGGGCCAATTTTGACCCCAGGGCTTTTATTTGAACAAACTTGGTAGACACCTATTAGAACATGTTTGATGCTCAATATCTTAGCCATAGCTCTTTAAAAGAAGATTTTTTTAAGTTTTTACTATATGCATATAGGGAAAATCAATGACCCCCCGGGGCGAGGCCAATTTTGACCCCAGGGCTTTTTTTTGAACAAACTTGGTAGACACTCACTAGAAGATGTTTCATGCCAAATATCTAAGCTCTAGCTCTTATGGTTTTTTAAAAGAAGATATTTAAATTTTTTTCTTTCGGTTGCCATGGCAACCAGAGTTCTGCATGGAATTAAATTCTTTGAACAATTTTTAAAGGTGACCACCAAAGGAACATTCCTTTGAAGTTTGAATGAAATTGGCTTAGTGGTTTATGAGGAGATGTCATTTAAAGTAAAAGTTTACGGACGGACGACAGACGGACGCCGGACGAAAAGTGATCACAAAAGCTCACCCTGTCACTTTGTGACAGGTGAGCTAAAAATATGTCCAATATAGATAAAGAAGGAACAAAATCGGGACTTTCAAATTTTCATCTAGATAACAAAATATCGAGAAAAGCGTTGTCGAGATAACGGTAGTTGACTGTAGTGATTATCCAGCTCTGAACAAGGGGGAGTAATCCTTAAATGACACTTCTGTATATAAGAAAGAGTTGTTTCATAAGAAATTATAATAGTCTGCATGGAATTGAATAAAAACAATACATAATATTCAAGAATATACAATATGAACAGATACTATACAGATGCTATACAAGCTTGGCATTTTCAAGGTACAAGAATAAACTGTGTATTTAAGTGTATGAGTGTAAAATTTCACAACTTGTATACCATGTATAAATGTTGTCTAAGCCGGTGCAAAATGGGCATGGACAGTAGCTTGTACCTACCACTTTCATCAATGTACAGGCTCAATTAAACTGAGCTTACAACATTTTTAAATTTGCTTTTTCACGCATTCTTTAGGAAATCAAATTTTTTTCTCAATTCTTTTTGCATATGGTCAACTGTTATATAACGTCCTATATTTCTTAAAAGGTCAGGGTTTTTTTTTTATAAAAATAGGCAACCAATCAGTGGCATATCTTAAAATCCCATAGATTATCTGATATATTGGATGAACACATTGTTCATCACACATTTGTCAATTTATTTATATCACTCCTGGATATTTTACACACCACAGAAAGATGAAAATTTCATAAAAATCGCAGGCAAATGCCCATTCAGTACTGAAAGTGGAATATTTGGATAGAAAGTGGGAGGGGAAACTAATAATACTTTACTCTATATGAGCCGTGTCACGACAAAACCAACATAATGGGTTTGCGACCAGCATGGATTCAGACCAGCCTGCGATCTGCGCAGTCTGATCAGGATCCATGCTGTTCGCTTACAGACCCTATAACAAGTAAAGAAACTGCTAGCGAACAGCATGGATCCTGATCAGACTGCGCGGATGCGCAGGCTGGTCTGGATCCATGCTGGTCGCAAACCCACTATGTTGGTTTTGTCGTGACAGGGCTCATATTAGGCTTGATATTCAATCTTTACACTTACCAGTATTTATCAGATACAGCTGTTGCCATGGCAGGATAATTTCCCTCCTGTACCATCGTTTCCACGTCAAACACTATGACACATTCTTCTGGGTATTCTACAGGAACTGGAATCCCGTCCTCGTCATATTTCACCCAACCTGGACAGAATGCCCACTCTGATGGCATTGTAGGAATGACAGACGAACATAAACACTCTGCCAGGTCAACATAATCCTTCACCTGCTTCTTCCCAAGATTCATAAAATGTTCATCTATGTTTTTACCTAAGAAAGAAAATAAATTTAAAAAAAGATAAATACATGACTTTGGCCCTGAATATAGAAAAAAAAAATCAGATTTTTCACTATGTAATTGCAACTTATTTACCATTTTACATAGTGTGATTTGTCTTTATATTAAAATTTGCTACTTTCACTTTGGACCCACTTAGTGAAAATCAAACATGGCCAACAATGCAGAATATGAAACCTAAATATTTAATATTTGGAGGTCAGTCTGTTCTTCATGTTTGACCCTGTGACCTCTTGGTCAGTCTAAGGAGACCAACAGGCAGCTTTAAAACAATATGCCCTCTCAATCTATTGATCCTGGGGTATAAAAAAGTAGCTTTACAGATTTAATGTAATACACAAACAACGATAAAGATTCAGTCAGGAATTAAGACCATCCCACTATTAAGACCAGTTTTTAAAAGAACAAAATTTTCTGTTTTTATGTCAATGGTAACATCATATTCACAATTAAGACTACCCCACTTATCCATTATTAAGACCACCAGATTCAGTCCTAGTTTTTTTGTTTTATTCTTTATATGACAACACTATTGAGACCACTGATAATTCAGTTAACACTAATAATGAGTTTTTACTGGATTTTGATAAATTTTCAAACTTATAAAGAACAATACAGAAGTATGTTATGTTGGACATACCTAGTAGCGGTGGTAGATTAAAACTGACATCTTTGTGCAGGTTAGTTTGTTTATCCCACAATTCATGCTGGGACAAGTGTTTCTTTACTTTTTTTAGTTGACCATCATCTAAAGTTTTTTCTTGTTTCACGTGTATCTCATCTCCTGAGCTATCAAACTTACCTAACAAAAGAGAAAAAATATCAGCACCATTAAGATAAGATCATGTAAATATGATGTGACAAATAAAGAAGTCAAAAAATTCAAGATGGGTGTATCATGTTATCTTTTAATTAAATATTTTAAACACAGTTGCACTAAACAACAACATATATATCATTTCTCATATTTCTAAAGGTAAAAAATATTTTTCATGAACTATACATTACAATTTTAGTTCACATCAAGTTCATGTATGCTAAAGTTGTTATGAAATATGAAAATCGCTGGCAAAATTCTGCTCGTAAAAGCGAACAATTCTTAACCTACAGAGCTTTATGTACAAATGTAGAAGCTCCTATAAAAAATATCAACATATAAACTCCCAAACAAGAGGTATGGTATAAATGTAGGTCAACATATTTCATATTTTTCTCAATATCATTTCAATTTTTCTCCAAGCCCTATTTTATCATATAAGATAAGACCTTTTTTTCATTATACAACACATCATTTAGTTTCCTATATCATTTCAAACACTTTTGAATGGAGTGGAATATCCCCAAACTGTGTTATCTTTGTTAATTTTTCTGATGTATTTGGTTATTTTTGGTAATACACATACTATGTATGACAAAGATTTTGTTTGGTGCTGACAGACATATGTTACTCTAAAGACGTTAAATTTACACGTTCATATGTAATGTGAAGTCTTATATTAAGAAGAAAGGACACTGTTTTCGTACAACAGAGGTTCACGCTGAGGTTGTGATGTAAAGTGTTTAAAACAGGGATTTACAGGAAGCAGGATCCTGTATCCATATACCCTTAAAATGCCTAATTGGATGATGCACTGTTAGTTCTTTACATCTTACATTAAGTGGATGCAGGAAATATAAAAAACTGGCTTCATTAATATTACATACCATCATTACAAGAAAAATATTACATACATGTACATTCGTATGTAATATAGGTACGATTGCATACTACTTTTTGTGAAGACTTTATGTTTGCTGAATTAAAGGTGTAATGTAAAATGAACAAACATGTCATGAGATATTTTATATCTTTAAACATTTTCATGGAATGTTATTAATGTATCACCATATTAAAGTTGCATGCCTTCAGATGAGAAAAATGATTTCAAGGAAATCAAAATATGAAAAGAAAATTCACGGTCAATTGACTGCTTTGAAGCATAATCACAAAATAAAATTACAGGAAATTAAAAACCTTTTCAATACACTTAAGGTAGAATTTCATTGTAAATCATAGTCAAAGATTTGAGATATGATTATTTATTCATATTAACCTCATTATTGGTTATATATTGATAAAAAAAAACCGAAAGACACAGTTTGTAAATATTTATTACAATAAAATATGAAAAAGGTATACGCGCCGAGGTTAGCTATAATTAAAATTCCCGCGCTTAGTCGCAGTGGTGCTTGGGATAATCACTTGATACTGTAAATGGCAGCCATTTTACGATACGAATCATCGAAAAGTTTATTCTGCCAAAAAGATATGAAAAAATACTTGCAATTCAAAGTTTGCTGGCTACATAAAGATTATTGATTTACTCTTTGCACACTTTTTCTCTGTCTGAGTATAATAATTTTGACGTGTTTTCATTGGCTTAAACCATCACGTTACCAATACACATGTAGGTGTGAACTAATTTCGTGTTCATCAAAATTATTCCGTTAATAGACATATAACAATCTTATTTACAAATGAATTGATAAAACAACAATCCCAGAAGCATTTAAGATAATAACAATCATTGGAAAAAAATAAATGCATATAAATATGACAACTCAACCCCCTAAACAAAACATAATAGACTCAACCAAAACAAGCGCCTGCTTCTTCACCTAACTATGTAGTTGCATAACCTTGATTAGCAATTTAGCAAACCAAATCTAAGAGATAAACCTATTGTAAAAATAATACTATGACCACAGCAGATTTCGTACAGAAAAGTGCATGACAGATGTGATTGTAACATGTAAGATATCATTGTAAGTACAATGTACCATGATTTAGTAAGGAGTCAGCCTGCTTGAATTAGATATATGACATCTTGAATTAATAGTTGGACACCATGAATTTGTGGTTGGCGCCCTATCATTCAAGAATCTGCTTCAAATTGGATCCCTTGAAATTAAAAGTGATGTATGATTATGTAAATTCCTGTTTAAAGTACTTATAAACATCCTAAAATCATTAATGATGTATTAATCAGATAGTCAGTTAAAACAAATTATAATACTAAGAAATAAAAATATTAATATATTACTTATTTCTTGTGATTTTGTGCACTGACTGTTTCTGAATATCTGTTGTTGAAGAGTTTCTGACAGCAATTGAATGTTGATCTCATTGACCCTTGGTCTGTTTATACTGAGATGACAGGAAGTAGAAAAACCTCTTCTTAATGCACACAGCTTACACCATGACATTGTTACCTGCAAGATGAAAACAATAGTATCATAATTTTATAAAAAAAAATTGTGTCTTTTAAAAGTATCCATTTTCATGTAGATTTTTGAAATCAGATGAACAATTTAAATAAAATAAGCAATAAACTTTGGTAAATTATTTGATGTTCTCTGATTTTTTTTTTAGTGCAAAAATACAATCTCACGTAACATTTTTCAAATTTTATTAATAGCAGCTTTTACTTTTAAAGCAAACACAGGTATTTTTTTTTCTTTTTCAAAGTAATTAAATAACAATTTGTTTGTTTGTTTGTTTGTTTCATTTTACGTCTTTTCCCAACAATATTTCAGTCATATAGGCGGGTAGTTTCCTAACCATCATTCCTGGAGAGTTACACCAGTACTAGACTACCTACCTCCGCGCTAAACTACCATAGCATCTCCCGGGATCAAACCCACGCCAGAGAGGTAACTGGATTAGAAGTCATCGCATCTAACCCCTCCACCACGGAGGCGGTAATAAATAAATAACAAGACTTGAATTTAAATAAATTAAATTTGGGAAAAAATTAAAACTGTGGCACCGCTCAGACTTTCCGCATACTTATCTCAGACTAAATACAGACTGAAAGTAGTTCTACCATATGGTTTTAAACTTAAATAAAACAGTGGAAGTAATCTTTAATAATGTAAAAAATGTATATATTTGACATCCAAAGAGATACATGTATTTTGGTAAAATTTTGATTGAAAATTTTTCAATTTGAAAAACGCCCACTGATCCACAATATAACCAAATATGAATTAATTTCAACAGGTATACATTATGTACATGTACATGTATTTTTAGTTTCTGACAGCATTTAATAAATATATAAATAATGTACTGTTTACTTTTATATCAATAGATCAATAGGTGGAAGCATTACATTATGATTACATTTTCTTACATTATTTAGCTTCTTAATCTTAGCTTAGAGCAAATACTTCATCTGTTCAGTATGTTCTTACTTTTGTGTTTGAGGTCCTTACCTGAAGTTTTATTATGGGGCCAAAAGATACATGTACCAAATAATGCCTAATTCAAAGCAAAGCGAGTCCATTACTTTAACAGCTTAAATGTCAACTGAGAATAATCAAATTTTTTTCAAAACATGATTAATGTAATAGGCCTACGAACTACCTGTTAGAGTATTAGTATTAGAAGATATTTACACAAAAACTATGTTTTAATCAACTGATTATTTGATCTCTTTAACCAGTTCATAACTTTTTGTTATGACTTTAGACAGGCGGTTATGATTTAAATCGTTTAAATTACACGAATGCAAAAATCAAATTTGAGTTTCATGACGAATAATTATTTCAAGTCTCTAATTGCATTGCTACTGTCCGAAATACAGCACCTGTCCGAATTCAATATAATACGAAAAACAAATAAATTGTGCAAAGCAAAGTTGCATTAGATATTACTGTAACGCATGTTATTCTTACTTATTTCAGCAGTCAAGATTACTCAAAATCATACCATGACAAGTTGCTATTTCACGGAAATCTTAAATGATATTTGTAAATTAAAGGCATGTTTTTATTTTTTTAATCGACCTAACGCATAAAAACTAAACCAAAGAGCAGATAAATTTAGCGAAAAGACGTCTATTGGTTTATTACCATTGTTTAGACAACGGTATTATCATATATTCCCACCTGTGACATGGGTTATTTTCTTAGACAGCATCATTCAATGATGACACTCTCCAAGCAAATATGTCGCTCATCTCTCACATAATATGGAACGTTAGGTATCAATTTGAAGCATTCCTAATTTTTGGCCAGTAAGATATTTATTAATCATAAAATGTGACTGAAGTTACCCCGTTAGGCGCCATGTATTGATAGACAGAAATAGATATAAAGGAAACGGGAACAAGCTAGACATTTCATTTCCAAGACACTCACCACCTTAAAAGTTTAAGACTCATCACCACTCAACCCCTCGATCAAGATGAGCCTTACAATTAGTAAGTAAATGAATGAATGAATGAATGAATGAATGAATGAATGAATGAATGAATGAATGAATGAATGAATGAATGAATGAATGAATGAATGAATGAATGAAGGAATGAATGAAGGAATGAATGAATGAATTCGTATGACACTTTACCCCTCGTCATTTTGTTCTTGATTGTATAAATATTAGCAATTTTTATTGTTATTTTTGAAACTCAAAGTGACTTTTAACGTAATATTTTTGAAAAAGAAAACGAAAGAAAATAATATAACAATACATACGAATATGATCTTAATTATTAACCTGATGCACTGTTGGCAGCAAGTAAATTTACTTAAGGACCAGTGCAGAGCAATTTTAGCCGCAACATCCATCCCGTCTGATCATGGTCAGCACGTACTGTTCGCTACCATGGAGCTAAAATATCTGTGTCGCTACTCAGTCAGTATTTTTATTTTGAAATTTTTATAATGCTGAATGGTTTTGTCCAGATAAAAAGATGCACGCGTTTATTGAGGGCATTTAAACGTAGTTTAAAAAATCTTTCAAGATTTAAACAAAAAGGGGGCGCATACTCCCAAAAGCGAAATAGAAACTTTACATATAAAGGGTTTGGGTTTTTTCA